GTGAGCTAATAGCCCATAAGAGGTGGCATGTTTCGTCAGAGCTAATCAAAGGCATCTATAGCTGTCCATCCTTCCTTCCGTCTGTTCGTCTGCCTATTTAATGTTCTGTCAACATGTCTGTCGATTTTACCATGTTAATCCATTCTTTTCTTTATTCACTCATTTCTTTATTCTCCCCATCTCTTTGTATATTCGTCTGGCCGTCCCATCATCACCTGTCTGATCTTTTGTTTATTTGTCTGTCTCTTCGTCGGCTATAGGAACATCCATTCTCTTCTCTTCATATTTCCACCTGTCTGATCTTCTGTCTATTTGTCTGTCTGTCTGTCTGTCTGTGTATGCCTGAAGCACCTGTCTGTCTTCTATTTTCGTACATCCTTCCGTTTCATTTGCTTGCTTGTATGATCTGCCAATTTGTCTGTCTGTCCGTCTGTCTGCCTGTCTATTTGTGTGTGCTTAACTCTGTCCAGTCCATTCACCCGTCTGGCCATCTGTCTATATGTCCGTCTGCTCACATGTTTGCTGTATCTATTTCGTCTCTTCATGTGTGCTGCTCCATTGCGCAGATTAAGTTTGCTTAATGGAATTAACAACTTTTATCGTTTCGTGAAATTCTATTAAAACCTTCAGTCCCCAAATATGTTTCTGTATAGAAGTTTACAGAGATAGCTAGAGTGTCACATATCAAATACCGCAACTGCATTCCTTATGAAAGAGATGCATAGAAAGGTCTTTTTGCTTATATTGGAATGCCGGATTTTTGTATATTTCAATTTGAAGTAGAAATTGTTAAGGATATTTCTCAAGTCTATTCTTAGACTAGGAACAGCCTTACTTATGTGTTATATTACATATTAAATATTTAAATACTCTGGGCTTTAGTGTCAAGTGTCTCTTTTATATATGCACACAGCAAAATGCGCATAACTCAATTAATTAAGATTTAATTAGAAATTAATTAGAAATTGCTTAGCCTCTACTCTCTTTGAATATTAAACTGCATTTCATATTAGATACTATACAAAATTATTAATTGAAATATTGGATTTAGCCAGAGTTAAGCTGCGTATTAATACTGAATATTTTATTTATTCTGATAATTTATGTTTTATAAAAGTTCATTTAATTGAAGTCTTCAGTATTTTGTCATATCACCTGAGGCATTATTTCTGTGAACGGAAGCTACACATGCTCCTAAGTTAAGGGAGGGAAAGAGAAGGCAATAGATCTTCACAAGTTGCAAATTCCATTCATTCGAATAACCTCCGCAGCTGCGATGCTTTTTGTGTGACAAGCGAAGATGTCATCTCATTTCGGTTTGGCCATAAATAAAATTTAAAGCTTGACCTGCGTTGCATCATTTGGGGGAACAATTTCTGCATTTACTTCCATTAAATTGCACAACCAGACTATAGAAAGAAATCATGTAATTGTAATTGAAATGAAGTAAGCGTAAATTGCGATAAAAAAATAAAAGTCAGCAGCCAAAGCTTCCAGCTAAAACCAAAAACAAACAAGTAAGAAAGCTCTAGTCGAGACTGCTCGACTACGAGATCCCCTGAACCCTTGGAGTGCTAGCTATTTCAATAATTTTTCGCGTCTTTCAGCTTACACAAGAAACACACACACATACACAAACACATACACATACAAGCACCCACGCATAAACACGCATGGGCTGCAGTGTGCGCTTACTATGAGAACTTAATTGTTTAATAACTTTTTTTGTGGACGTACGATCTTCATGAAACTTTCAGATTATGATTATAACATGAATATGCATGTAATTGCCAAAGCACAAGTCTCTAGTATTTGAAATACGCGTTTTACAAAAGTGAGGGTGAGGGGGTGAATTTAGAGGTGGGGGGTAAATTTTAACAAAAACCGAAATTGTATAAATTGCATATAAGCATACATT